CTCCCCCCCCCCCCCCCGGCCCCCCCTGGGCCCCCCCCCCAGCCAGCCCCGGGGTCCCCCCCCCCCCCCAGCCAGCACCAGGGCCCAGGGATCCCCCCCCTCACCCCGATGTGCCCATCTGCCGTGCCACCGCGCCGTGCCGCAGCGCTGCGCTGGCTGCGTGCCACCGGCCAGCACGGGGTGCCCGAGCACGGCTCGCGTGAGGCGACACCGGGGCCACCCCGTGTCCGGTGGGGCAGTGACCGTGCACACCCCAACCCAACTTACCCCCCGAGACCCCCACAGCACCCCACAAAACCCCCACAGGATGCAGACCCACATGGGCACAGGGTGCCCACTGCTTCGGTGGGCTCCTACGAGACCCTCCGCCACCATGAGAGACCACCTTGTGCCTCAGTTTCCCCAGCAGCGTCCCCAGGCCCTGCTGCAGCGGCGGGCAGCCTCCTGCGCCCCCCCGAAGAGCGGTTCTTGCCCCCGCGCCAACGAGACGGCGTCCCGCCGGGCAGGGCAGTGCCGGCGCCGGGCCAGCAGCCAGCACCTCGGGGCCAGCCCCAGCGGGCACAGCCCAGCCGCCAGGCCGTCTCTGGGGAAACTGAGGCACGGCACCCCCCCCTTCCCCCCCCTCCCCCCGACACCGGTACCGGCGTGCCATGGGCTGGCAAACCTGGGCCCGGGGAGACACGGCACCTCGGCGTGACGTAGGGAGCGGGGCACCCTGCCAGGGATCCCCGCCAGCACCCGCCGCCCACGCGCCCGCCGGGTCACGGTCACCGTGACCAGAGCCTGGAGGTGCCCCAGCCTGGCAGCACCGCGGCCGCACGTCCAGCCAGAGCTGTACCCCCCCAGAGCAGGACTGGGAATACTGGGAATACTGGGAGGGGGGTGCGGGGTGAGGCGGGGGGAGAGTGCCCAAAGACACCCTGCTCGGGGCAGCACAGCCCCCCAGATTTGGGGGGGGACGACCCTGCGCTAAGGGGATGGCACCGGACGCTGGGGGACACAGTCCCTGGCTGCTCGGGGGGGCTCCGAAGGCAGGACACCCCCCCGCAGAGGCAGTGGGAGTCCCCAGCTGCAGACAAAGGCCCCTCGCGCCAGCGGAAAGGTCGAGCAGCCCCGAGACAATGGGGGGAGCGAGACCGGGGTGAGGAGGGGGGGCCGCAGAGAAACCACCCCCACGCACCCCCGGCCACGGGCACCACAGGGGGCATCGCGGTGGGAAGGGGGAACCAGCCCCCGCAGGGACAAGGCGACCCCCCCAGCCCCACAGCCCTTCTCAGGGTGAAAATCCTATGGGGCCAGGCAGGATGTCCCCAGCCGTTATCGCCACCCACGGCCCCGGGTGGGGGGCCAGCCCCCCCGGCTGCCCCCTGGCAACACCCTGGGACCCCCCCCCAAGCCCACCCTGTGGGCACAAAGCACAGCGGGTCCCCGCATCCCCCACGGAGAGGGGAGCCCCCAGGCTGGCCAGGAACTCGGGGTGCTCTGCCCATGCCCCCACTCTGCCCCCCCCCCCC